AAAACTCTGATATTAATACGATAATAATTTAAAGAAGTTCGAGCAATATAAATGGTGGAGTGGGGGGAGGAGGGATATGTGATATGACTAAAGGAAGGTGAGAGGAACGGACATTGAATATTGCCAACAACCCAACAAGAAAAAGAAGGTTGGTATATTTACTGTAAAGCTAGGAAACGGATGAAAAAGCTCACTGAAGCAATTCTGTAACCTTTTTCCATATGCATTTATTATACTTAAATAAAATTAGAAAAATGGCATTTCAAGAATCAATACTACTATGAGTTATGACACCTAATATTTTTTATTTTGAATTTCAAACTTCTAGCTAGCCCACTTTTTGGGTTGTTGTTTACTTTTAAGTAATTGAATTTTTCTTACCAACGATGATGATGAGACCAATAACGTAACCGACTCTATATTTTGACCTAAAACAAAACAAAACAAAAGGTAAACCCTATTATAATTTCAAAATTCATTATTAGTGGCAATTTTTTCATAATTTTTTATTTTATTTTAAAAAAGAAAATCTGTTATCTTAGAATATATGTATGGCATATTACTGCACTAGTATTGTTTATAAATAAAGAATTCAAGAGGTTTAATAAATGAGGGTTTTCACGTGAGAACTGTGAACAGCATTTTGCCTCTCCTTTCAGAGAAGAAAAGTATTGAATGCTTAAATGACAAATCCATGACCACTTTGTACCTCCCTTGCTCTGCATATGCATTATTACTGTCCTCTTTTTATTTTGTTGACAAGGAACTCGCACGCGCTACCCTTTAATTTGAATGTGCATAGGTAAATTTTAAGCTATGAATTTTACAAATCATATGTTGCACTTACTCCATTGAGATAAATTATGTTGCTATACTAAGCCAAAAAGCATTAGAGAATTCTGACAAGCAGTTACTCAACTCTTCGATGGACCAAATATCACCTTTGCAAAGCAAAAGAAGACCATCTGCAAACCTAGCTAATTGTACAAGATACATTCTAACCAACATGCATGGGTGGTGGTGGTGCATTGGAAGAAAATTCTGCTCGGAGCGCCGTTCATTATGCGATCCAGATTTAGTCGGGGATCAAATATAATGTGGACTCCAGATTTAGGAAGGGAAACAATAAAAAACAAGATGCATTCTAACAAATCTTGAATGGAACTTGAAAGTTGAAACTAGTCTTGTTCTTCAATATTTGCAGTCATCATATATATTATATATATTATTATAAGTGGGAACATCACAAATGAAAAGTTGAAATACCTAAATGCCCTTGTAGAATTAAATAACTATTACCATTTTCAAGGTACAAAAAAAAATTCTGATTTTCCCACTTTTAGTTATCTTTTTTCCACTAATTCTTTTCATTTTATTTAATAAGAAGTCCAAAAGTCCATGTAATGTGGGTAACATCTTATAAACAAAAGTTCAAAGATCACAATTGATCTTACAATCGTTTCTAAGCCAAAATGGTGAGTCTTATTTTGAGTTTATACTTCTTTTTCATTTCCTCTATTAATGTTTTGTTCAATCCTTCAAGCTTTGTTCTTAAAATTTCTCTATTAAGAACTTGTCGTCTTTTTTCTTTTTAACTTATTTCTTAAGAGTTTTAGATATTTACAAATGTATATTCAATTTTGATATGAAATTGTTGGAGAATATAGGTACTACAAACAGAGGTTAGAGGCTATAAGAAGGAACTGCTTTTCCGATTGTATGAAGGGATTGTTGTACACAAGCGCAAATAAGATTAGATTTATTGTCCACATGAAATACTTTTTTTTATATCAAATTGAAGATCACGTGAGGTAAAATATCTTCATAGTATGTATTGAATTTTTTATGAATATTTTATTTCTCCAAATAATTATTTTTTTTTGTGTACAAAAAATGTGATGAACATATCTTTTTATATCTATGTTTCTTGTTTAACAATGATGATTTAATCTTGATGTCGAGCAGAGTTGTTGTATACAGATATTGTGAAGTTCATGATTATTATGATCACATTCTTTCTTCCATTTTGAATCTCCGGGTAATTGTTTTTCTAATTTTAAGATTGACTCTCGTTTTTTTTGGTGAAAACGTTTGAGTTCTTATACCATGAAACTTATTGTTTTTTTTTCATATTTGCCTTCTTCCATTTATCAGGTAGGTTTCTTGTAAATTTCTCAACTCTTTAGTAAGAATACTCTTTGCAATAATAAATAAATGTTATTTACAAAACAATAACATGCACTCTTTATTTATCGATATATAATTCATTCCTTTTTGGATCAAGTTACCGTGAATTTTTAATTGAAATTTTAGAATTAGAACTTAATATACTTTCTAATTAGTAATTATATGAATATTTAATACTACATAATAGTAATTATGTAGGAATAAAAGGCTAGAGAAGTTACAAATGCAGTTATAGACCATTTTTACTATCATAAATACTACTACTAGATATCCATAATTGTTATTTTAATTTTAAAATTGTCTTTCTCTTCTTTTTTTTCTCATTTTTATTTCATTTTTGTTTTTTTGGTGAAAACTTTTCAGTTCTTATACCATGAAATTTATTTTTTTTCTCATATTTACCTTTTCCCATTATATTTAATTAATAAATAGATATTAAATAATAACATATTAAATAGTTGCACCACTCATCAAAATCCGTTCCTATTCTCTTCAACCACATTAATAAACCAAGAAGACATAATTCCTCATTAAACAACAATATAATGTCATTGGGTAAAAACCTTTTCATTTTCTCTTATTTATGTGTTGTATTTAAGAATCCAAAAAGACATAAGTTTACATTAAATACTATATTTCAAATCAAGTCTTTTCACCTCTTCTAATACTATCTCCTATTTATATTTAAATCATATTATCACTATGTATCTAATTGTATGAGCAGTAGAAACTGAACTTAAAAAAGGTGGAGCAGTACTTTTATTGTTCTTTTTTATTTTTTTTGATAAAAATACTTTTATTTTATAAAGTCTTAATTTGATGTCTAATTATATGAATGCTGGAATCTGAACTTATGTAGAGGGAGTAATACTTTTATTTTCTGTTTATTTATCCTTTGAAAATACTTCATTGAACTTTTATTTGATGATTTCAATTTTTCTTATATGCCATTCATTTTTTTTTTAGGTTGGTTCATAAGTATGTATATACATAAATTCAAAGTTATCTTTTCTTTTATATGCATTTATTTTTTGCACGGTTTATATTGTTTACTTTTTTTCTACCATATTGTTAATATCTCACAATGATTGTGTTGTATTTCACAATTCAAAATTTATAGATGACAAAATTAATAATTTTGAATGAGTCAAAGAAGACGAAGGGTATGTCAATTAAACAGTTAACAATGATTATTTTTATAACAAATAAATACTATTTTTTTTGTAGGTGTACACTATGAACTTGATAATGATCTACTAACCATCCCAAGAAAGACATATGTTGATCGAATTTCTCTAAAACTATTACAAAACACTACTCTCCATCGACGACAACTTATCGATATGTATGCATCTGTAAAAAAGTGGAGGCTACTATTCCTTAAAAAGAAGACGGAAACTCTAAGGCATTAAATATTTTGCAACTATAGTGCTGACATTTAAATTATATGTTGTGACATAATAAAAAAAGTACTCTTAACAAGTTGAATAATTGATATATTATAAGAATTGTATATTTGAAGTCATTGTAGAGTACGTTTGAAATTCACTTGATAACAATATTTTTGTATGATGTGCCTTGCAATGATTAATAATTTCAATTGAATATAATCGTTCATTGATTCGAGCTTATATTTTACACATCGTACACTTATATTTTAGAAGTATTTATACTAATTAGCATTGTATACACGTGCAACGCACATTCGAAAACTAATATGTTAAAATACTCCAATACTAAGACATAATAATAATAATAATAATAATAATAATAATAATAATAATAATAATAATAAATAATAATAATTGCTGTTTACCCTATTTTTTTGGTTAAAATTAGGGTTGATTTGGACTTGTCAACTTGAGTAGATTGACTTGAAGTCTTAAAACATTTATTTTAAGCCCTAAATGAATATATGACCCACTAATTTGCCGTTAGATTAGGTAGGTACATATATATGAATCAAATTAAACTAGCTCCTATAAGCTAATTAATACGATTTTGAAATAACTTGATGAAAAATTTTATCCTTTTTGTGGCTATTATATGTATCTTCTGCTTCGTAGTTCACTTTTACTTGTCATATTTTGCTTCTAAAGTCAAACTATATAGATTTTGACCAACATTTAAAGATATATATATATATTAAAAGCATTGCAACTTATTATAGTATTTTCCTATTATTTTCAAATATTGAATTAATTTAACTCAATGTAGCTATTAAGTCCTAAGATTAGTTAAACGGATTTACGTAAAACAAAACGTGATTGGTAAAAAAAAACCAATAAGTTATTCTAATTTATAGGGAATTTATTTGAATGTATACATATTTACATATTCTTTACTTAGACTTTGTATGTGGGAATTGTAAATCAAATAGGTTAGGTACCCCTATTATTATTATTATTATTATTATTATTATTAGATTAGAATTAGAATATAGGGTGACCAAAACATATCCTCACTCTAAAGCCAATGAATCTCAGAACGAAGCCGTTTTAACCTTTAAAGACACTACACGACGTCGTATTATTGATCCGACAAATTCTCACCGAACAGAGTTGGAAGCGAAACAAATACTTGTAAATGGAGTTTCCTTGTGAATCCAAACTTTCTCCAATTCATTAGAAAAGAAACCTCTTCAATTATTCCCTTTAAATACCTAGAAATTGTACACAAACCCTCTTCAATTATACGATTTTCTTCTTTTTTTGGTACGTTTTAAAGATACCCTTTTGCGTGAATTGAACTTTTTGATGATTTCTATAGTTAATTACAATGTATGTTTGTGTGTAATTTTTTAGGTTTTTTTTAAGGGTTTCTTGGATTCTGATGGTGTTCATCTGTGTGAATTTTGCAGGTATAGATCAAAGTTTCAGTCTTGTCATGGCCAAAAGTTCTTTCAAGCTTGAACACCCTTTGGGTAATTGTTTTTCTTTCTAATTCAGTTTTTTTTATTGTTCTACTTATACTACAAGAAGTTTGATTGTGTGTATGGGTTCTTGTTTATGTATCTTTCTTGAAGTTTCTTGGATGATCATAGTTCAAGTATTTGTTGTTTCGACCATGCTGAAAAAATCCTACCCTTCCCAGACTCCACTTTGTGAGATTACACCGGCTATGTTGTTGTTGTTGTTGATCATGCTGAAAAACTTGATAGGGATCATTCCTAGGATATGTTGTAGGGTTTCTGGGGATTGATATGCACTGGCCCTCTTGCATTCAAGTTGTTCGATGCTGTTAATTCTTCTGGTGATGTTTTTAGGTTTGCTAACTGATTAAATTCTTTATATAGTAAGGCAACCAATGACACATGAACTGTATACGGGCTTTATCTCCCTTCATTGACATTTATACTATCTAGTGCTTGAAGCTGTATTTTACAGTTTATTGACCTTCTCCGGGAAAATCTCATACTTGAAGCTATTATCCTGTTATATTGGTCTATGTCCTGTTTTTATTCTATCTGAGTATGATGATATCTGGTTTGAGAGTTTTGGGCTGGAAAATTACCTTTTGAGTGTTCTCTGTGGCATTGAGTCTCCAAAAAAAATATTCAGCAGGCTCTCTTTGAGCAAGCTTACTTTACATTTATGCTATTCTCATGTTAGAGTTTGCATGATTGGCTTCATATCATTATAGATAAGAAAAATATGCCATTCTTTTGCTGAGATTTGACTTATTGGTCAAAAAAAGTTATGTATTCTTTTGAAATAATAACAAGTTTATGTGGTCTAAGGTTACTTGTCAGATTTTCTAGATTTCTCCCGAGTGTATCTCCATTTCTTGCAAATCTCAAACAAAAAAGCTAGTATTTGTGGTGTAAATTCTGATGATTCCAAAATTTGGTTTTGTTTATAGAGAGGAGGCAGTCAGAATCTTCTCGCATTCGAGAGAAGTATCCTGATCGAATTCCGGTATGATCTTTGTTATCCCAAGAAACTCTTGGCATTAAGTCACACCTAGTACTCTCTGTAGCTTCTCTCTGACATTCATGTTTCCTATTTAAGGTGATTGTTGAGAAGGCAGAGAAGAGTGATGTCCCTGACATCGATAAGAAGAAGTAAGTTGCTACTTTTCTTTTTTACCTAGATGTTCACTTTTTTAGAATCAAGTGTTTTTCTGAGCTTTTATCCTAAGGTAATTAAATCCACAGAATCCAATTATATTGATTGTGTTTTGGCATGTGCTGTAGGTAAGTTGCATCATTGATTTAGATCAACTCTTTGGTTTTAGATAACTGGAAAATGCATGTTTTTGCTGTCATGTTTGTTATAATTAGTTTGAGATAAGGATTTTATCATGGGAATTTGGGGGTGGTTATACTTTATGAATGCTGCGAGCTTCTCAAGATATATGTTGATATTCATCTTTCTTACCACTTTTCAGATGGGGGGAAAACTGTTTTTAATACCAACAACCATTAGGAGAACTGGCCACATAGGTTGATTGGAGATGCTATGCTTTCTTGATAAATTCAAAATTCAAAATTCAACTAAGGTGTTGTCCTTACTTGAGGGTCTTGTAACTAAATGATTGAATGCATGTACTCACTTTCTTTCCATGTAGAATGGAATTGTGTGTGGAAATTGCTTATAACTCAACTTAATTTAGTGAATTGGCGAGAATGTTAAGTGTTCGTTAGTGGTCAAGGTGTTGATAGCATCCAATACTGTTGTTGTCATTTATGGATCTAACACGTGAGGATATAAGTTTGAATTGCTGTAGCTGCTCTAGTAATGCTCAGTTGTCTTAACTTGTGATGCAGATACCTTGTCCCAGCTGATTTGACTGTTGGCCAGTTTGTTTATGTGGTACGAAAGAGGATCAAGCTTGGTGCTTCAAAGGCCATCTTTGTCTTTGTCAAGAACACTTTGCCTCCGACAGGTAAGCAGAGAGATTGTGTTATTTCATTTACTGGTTAGGATTGTTGTATAATTACATCTTCTTTCATTTCAGCTTCTCTGATGTCTGCAATTTATGAGGAAAATAAGGATGAAGATGGATTTCTCTACATGACATACAGTGGAGAAAACACATTTGGGTTCGTTGAGCTTGGAAATTAATATCTCAAATGTAAATCTGACATTTCCTTGATCTCGTCATGGACAGCTAACTGTAGTTGTTGGTTTGCATTCCACATATAAAATCAAATTTATATTCCTCTTTGGAATAACCTAATAACTTACAGATGTTCAACTCTTGATCTCTTATCTTATAGTGCCTTTCATCTAATTAAGTTTTTCTTTCTATAACTAATAATTGCTTTTCCTTTTACTGCATCATTTGACTCTTCAGTAAATCTCTAGTACTTATTGTTGATTTGGAAGAAAAGCCCATAGTTTGAGTTTGGTGTTTGCCAGAAATTCTTACCTTGCCCTTATAGCTAAGATCAAATCTTGCTAGCAATTAACTATCATTAGCTGATATTTTGTTTCTTTTAAATCATGTAAAGAACACCAAACGTTAGCACCCAAGGGCATGGTCTAGTGTTTAATGTAGAAGTAGAAAATCATGAGGTCTTAGATATTTGTCCTTCGCAAAATTGTATATGCCCCAAGTTTTTATATTATTTGCATGTCGCTCTTGGTTTTGAGATGTATGCTCTGACAATATAAAAATTTGTACTACTAGTGTAGTTTGACATCTAATAATATTAAAGAGAACAATTTGTAATTACCTTATTAGTAATATGATTGCATACATATTTTTTACATCATCAGTGCATGGAACTTAAACTCACCCAGAAGCAAACTACTACCAGGAGCTAGCCACACTAACCAAATGAAATTGGTTAAACTGAACAAGTCGAGTTATAACGAAGCATAACAATCCATAAATAGACATGTTTGATCTGAAATCCTCTTACAGAAGGCTAGATAATCCTTGATCCTCCTTATTTCATGAAATGGAGGAATTTTTCTTCTGCGATTTGCTCCTAACCCATTTGATCAACATGGAAGGACCATTTTTCACCTTGTGTGCACCAGCCACTGCCACAGCTTTGACTTTGCCAATTCCTGATGATGATGAAGTAGTGGCTTTCTTGTTGTTTTCACTGTCTTTGCTGCTCTTATAATAGCTGTCATCTTCATCCATGGCACCTATCCCTCCTGCACCCCATTGATCTGCCCAACTTGGTCCATCACTAGCCATAAATCCTGTCAACAACACAATATAAGATGATTTAGTAAAGAATAAAGAGAAAACAGAGAAGGGGCTAAGGATTTTACTTTATTAGAGCTTGTAATTGGTAGAACTATTAAGAGGAGAGCTTAGGATAAGTCTCTTAAACCTGTGTGTTCCTTTTATAGAAGACTTACTAGCTAACTCACAAGGTTACTTTCTCTTGAAGGAAGCATTATTTATTTCTTCTTTGGAGAAAAGGTTCCCTATTATCACCTACCTAGCTATCTTGTGAATGGTTGTGTATAAAAGTAGAAATTAGTGGAAGCATTTAGTTAGCCAAAAGTAAGAGTGATGGTTTGGCTTTTCCTCATATGACAAACACTTGCTACAAAATTGTTGTCCTCTCCCCCAACCCCACTACCACTCATGCTTGCTTCCTCATCTAAGTTTTGGATTGAAGTGATGTATATTGTGTTAAGTCATATTAGCAGAATTAAATATGTGAACTAGATAGTGTGTAAAATTCTCCCACTGAATAACCTCTTTTTGCTTTCTTACTAGTGAAGCTTTAAAACAACTCAACTTTCTTATAGGAATAAGCATAAGAGTAGCTAAGATTTCTTGAATTTATTCTGGATTAAGTAACAGGATAGAATCATAAGACTGTTATAATGGAAATTCGCAAAACTTATTTTTCACTTGTTCTGGTTTTGCAAGATGTACAATAAAGCTAAATCTACAGTTCCCATCTTATCATATCATTGATTAATGATTTGAGAGGCAGAGAAAAAGAAACCTATAGTAAAACGTTTCGTTGACATAAAATTGATGTCAAAACGATTGTATACATATAGTACTATAACCAGTTTACACCTGTTTTTGACCTCTTAAATCATTAGTGGTAGTTGCTAATTATTGAAAAATATACACAAGTCAAAATATCTTTGCTTTGTCGGAAAAAAAGAAGAGGATGTCTTTGCTTTGAGCAACAACTATTATATGTTAAACCCCACAATAACATGGCCTTGTGTCACATTGCAAAACTCCAAACCCAACAATATTTATAGTACGTACTCTTCTATATGATGATAAGAAATGCAGCTTTTTTAACCTAATGATGAACTTATTATCTCCCAAGTCAAAGCACCTTCGATTCAATAACTCTGTATATATGTGATATATTCAACGATTCAATTTTGAGAAACTCACCACTATGAGAATTGATAATCCAAGAACAAGACTATAGGAGATTCAAAGTTAGATTCTCCTTAATATCTACAAACTATATTAGAATTTAGCAAGTAATTGAAAGAAAAAAAAAACAGACTAGTTGATCGAATCACATTGAATGTTAAAAGAATTACACTAGTATTAAGACAGTCACTTAGTTTTCCTAGTAGACTTGGATTTCTTCATTTTCCTATTTTTCACATCAAAACTACTCCAACTATAACCACCAGGTATTGCAAATGGATCTGCCTGTTGTGCTCCATTACAGCTCTGCTGTGGCAGCTTGCTACTCGAACACGACCGGCTATTGCTCCACGACGAAGACGATGATGAAGGAAGGGAATAATAATTGTTTCCTGAACTTTCATCCTCAGCATCACCACCATGAAGGAGGTGCCTTGGACTTGAAAATGGAGTGTAGAACTGTTCAATTGGTTGTAACTCAACAAACTTTGTGAATGTGATTACTACCCTCACTGTAGGGACCACTGGTATTGCCAACTGTCAATCAATAATATAAATTGTAATTAAATTGGGTCCCAGGAAGGTTCTTTTGCGTTGAACACTAAAAAAAGTGTCACAGGAGCTGAAGCGAAACAGACGTTTGAGCATGAAAAGAAGAAATAAAGAGCCAAAAAACACAAACACAATATCAAAGCTTTCATCAGAAGAAATGAGAATCTCGTGGGACCTCAGAAATTCAAAAGTGAAATATCAATTTTACCCCTTACCTTGACTGGAAATGTCCCCGGAGGGAACTTGGTGGTTAACAGCTCTCTCATTCGTCTAACGGCTTTCACTTTGTTCGCTAATATGTCAAGTAACGGCAGCAACTCTTCCGTCTTCAACGGGAATTGCTCTGTTAACCAAACTGACGGTTTTAGGCTCTTCACATATTCCTTCTCCTTCGTATTTGGCGGCGGTGCAACCGGTATCGCCGCCGCTCTCCGCCGTGGTTCCGGAATAATGTCGACGCTTTTTCGAGAAACGGTAACGAAATCCCTTTCCTCTCGAGTGAAACTGCTGTGACGTCTTTGTTTGTTACTATCTCCGACGGAGGCAGCGGCGGTTGAGACGCTAAACCGTGGATTCTCTGCGACGAGGAAACCGTCTTCGGAATCCTCTTCTAGTTCTAAGTCTAATGGCAGAATTTGTTCGCTTTCAGCTGCGGAAATTTTCCGCGATCGGAAGCTGAAAACAACATTATTCACATCATAAACCCTGGCTTTCCATTCTCCAACGTTCTCTGTTTTGTCTTGCCCTCTCCAATTTGTACGGCCAACTAGTGTTGATTTCGTCACGTCCATTCCAGGACGATACACACTTGTTTGATTACAGAAACTCGCAACGTCGGAATCGCTCAAAGGAGAACCAGCGTTCTCGAAGGCATCATACATTTTACGGTCATCGTGGTTCAAAACTAGCAACGAACCAGCCGGAATATCAGAATTCCGGTCACCATCACCGAGAAAGAGAAAACTCTGATTAGCTCGCTGAACTTTCAAGCCGTCATAACCGGCTAAAGATGTATCTGCTCGAAGATTACCATCGCGTTTCCAGATCTTATACGTATCAGAAGGCGCAATTTTTCCAACGAAGGGAACAATAGAACTTTCGAAATGGAAAGAAATTTCCATGTAGAAGTCACGCATTCTGCGGAGAACAGCAACAAGGCGAGGTAGACGGCGGCGCCACTTGTACCAAGCACCTAAATGATGATGCTGTACCAAAATTGAAACGACATCGGAGCATCTCCGCATAATAGCTTCCTGTAAAGCATTCCAACCAGCAGCATTCTGTAGCGAAATGTCAGCACCGGCAACGGCAAGTGTCCGAGCAGCATAAACGTCATTCAAACGTACGGCGAGGTGTAGTGGAGTTTCACGTTTCGGATTGTCACGGCGGTCAAGTACGGCGGCGATTTTTTCAGCGCTTCGTTCCTGAGCAAGCGAATCGGCCTCGGTTTGTATCCGAGTTGGATCGGCGAGTCGAGGAAGAGAAGCAACGAGTCTGCTTAGAGTAGAATGATCTCCTAAAACGATGGCGTAATGTACAGGGCTATGAGTGTAATCTTCCGGTTTAATCGTGGTCGCCGGTGAAGTTGCCGCCGGTCTGGACATTTTACATGAAATAGAGAATTGGGAAAGCAGAATGTGTTAGGGGTAAGTAAGTAAAGGAAAGAATGGAGTATGATTCTGGAATGGAATGGAATGTTATTGAAGAACGAGAAAGTTAAGGGCAAAGTGGTCCTTTTCTGTATGGGCTTCATTAGTACATTTCTTTCTTTCTTCAGAGAAAGGGGAAGTAAAGAGGACGACTCAAATAGTGTGATCCATAACTTTTTCAAAACTTGAAGAATAAAACGTTTTAAAATTAAATTCAAAATATGCACCTATTATTAGTAGTAATTAATTTTCTTAGTATTAAAAAGGAAGATAAAATTCTAAGGTAGGGTAATTTAGTCATTCCATAAAAGTAGAGTACGCCAAGTACTGTTTTAGGCAAATAGGCTCGACTTTTATGGATACTTTATTATCTGAATTACGGGGATAGGATGGATATGAATATTTTATTCTGGTTTTTCTGAAGCTTTTACAGTTTCTCTGCGGGTTCTCTTTTGTCCTTCACTCCACTTTCTTCTTATTTTGGAAATATTGGAGTATCACATAATTAAAAAAATTATAATATCCAACGAGGACTAGAAAATCATTTCCTCGATTAAGTGTAACTTAAATTATCCTATGAAGGGAATTTATATGAAACCAACAGTCATTAAGCACTATTTAGTTTGGCTAACTGCAATTTTCAAGTTAATTTCCTTTTCAATTTTTTTTTCATGTAATAATACTTGACTTATTAACGCCAAACTGAAAATGTCTTTGTTCAACCGTTTAACGTAAGGTAAGCTGATTTTTCATTTTGAATCATTATATTTTCGATTTCCATGAACTCACAATCCCCCCTACTAAATTGAAGGAAAAAGAGCATAGGTTTAATTTATCGTTATGATGAATCATACGGATCCTCACTCATCAATCAATGGCAAATCCAATTATGATTTTGCGAGTTCAATAGAACTTAGTGTTTTAAAGTTGAACTGCTACATTTATATGTGCAACATATGATACAAGTATAGGTAAGGGTAAGGCAATAATTTTAGTACAAAATTCACAACATATAAATATTGAATCTAGAACACATTAAAATTGGTCTAAGTTTACTTTATTTGATATTTACCAAATATCTTCAATCTCTATGAGACATAGCAAATAAATCAAAAGGATGGTGCATAATTGGAACTTAATAGAGAAGATTGAAAAGGGACCTAAGAGTTGAATGGTCGGTGTAGGACATAGTGGGGTTTGTTGTGTCTATAACAGAAAGAAGCAAACTTAATCAAGGAATTATAAAAGAATGCATCGAAAGGGAATCGAACAACGTTTCATTTTCGGGTTTATAGATTGGATTCCGTCAATCTCACGACATAATCAGAGTGAGGCTTTGATTACCGGCAAACGCTTCTTCAAAGGTGACCTCTCGAGTTTCCGTCATTGAAGTAGCCGGAATTATGGACAAGGATATTTTACTCAATTCCCCTCTTACTATTTTGAAAAGTGGAATAAAACGAAATTCCATCAGTGTGTATGTAAGACAACCAACATTCTCTATGTTCAATTGGACAAGCCAGAGCAAGACTTCTCTGTGGGAATATCCGGCTATCTCCTACGGATATGATTTCTTCATTCTTAATTGTGTATCTCAAAATTCATAATAAAATCAAATTAATCGAAAAGAATGGAACAGAGGGGTGTCTGGGTCAGGACAAAATCTAAACTGGATTTCCAAATCACAAGACAGTTATTAGTACTACTTTACCAAATTTCCTTTGATTGAACACTTAAAGCAGTTA